CATTGTACAGTGGCATTAAGTGCCGTAATGTGCACCTCTGCCTACCCCTTCGGGGATAAAAAGGCGTCATGTTATGTTATGTTATGTTGCTTTAATACCTAGATACACACAGGTACTAAATACGTCGTAGTTAGTGGCAATAAATATTATCATGAGACATATAAAAACTTAAATGTTCCGACACATAAACGTGAGGTCATTTTAAATTACGTTACCTACCTAATTTTGTAAGGATTTCTTGTTACTTATATTAAAAACTTTACATGAATTACGTAACGTAAAACGGGGTGAATAGATACAGGAATGGGGTGAATTAGTGTTCGAATATATACCTAGATCTGTATCTATTCACCCCTCGAATTCTATTCATCCTTTTTACTGTAAGCCAATTTTGAATATATCTACATAAAGGTACCTTATTTTTATTTTTTTGATGACGAGGGGAAGCCTTCAAAATGCGCCTAACTTTTTAGGGAGAAAGACTAGGGAGTGTGGGATTCGTACTTCACTGAAACCACCCTGGTGGCCACCCTCAGCACCTATAAGGGGCACCGGGTCTTTTGAAGAGACCTGCTTCAGAGCCTCCACGGTGCAACGCCTGTTACAGCACATCCGTAGGGTACATAGATATCTACTTACGCTTCGCATCAAAATAATAACCTATGTCCAATCCAACCATTATCCGAAGTTATTTTTTAACGTTGTCATTAATCAATTGGTCGAATAAGTAATTTAATCATGACATGATTGAGCATGCACATTTTTCTATAATAATTTAGATTAACCCGTAACTGCTGGGTAATGGACGATGGGCATCGTCTACGCTGCGCTTGGCAAATGGTTTTGAAGATTGCAGTTTTATCACAGAACAGTTATGCGATCTCTGGTAAATGTGCAGCTTTTATGACAACCCTAAAGTTCGACAAGCATAGACTATGGAACGCCAATTGCTACGATTCGGACAGTCATCAATCTTTTCATGCATTCTCGTCAGTTAAGGGTACTTTTAATTTGGCCCTTCTTTAATATACTATGTAGTATACTAGTCACTCAAAATACAGCACAATTTGAAGCTGACGTTGTAAACTTGTAACCAAGTAAAGTATCTATGTAAATAGATGAATTATGTGTGGAGTTTACCCCTATTACGAAATCGTGCGTGTAAATCCGAGTGTATAACATCACGTCAAATAACTACCTAGGTAGTTAGATTATTACCTTGTTGTGAGGTGACAATTTGAAGGCTACCTTGCCTAGTTAACGCATTATGCTTTTATGATAAGTTGCGTTTGATTCAAAACTATTAGGTATTTAGGTAAGTACATTGAATAATGGGACGTGGGTACTGGGTATCTGTCCTTTATCCTTGCTAACAAGGACGTTGAAAAGGAGGCGGACACAGTCTCTTGAAACAATGGCTGTGGCTTTAGATTACCTATTAAATAATCTAAGACTGTGGTACCTGGTTACTTATAAACTTACCTACAGAACATACACACATTGACACGACGAACATCTCATTGTCCGTTATTTTCTTAAATCTGGTCGTTACACACGCACACGCACACATTAATAACTCACTAATAATTTAGTGCTTCAATTATTTGTAAGTGACATTATAGAAGGGGAGCCCATGAAGGGATTTCGGTAGTTACTCGAGCGCGTCAGATTAACATATGGGGAAAACCTAGTGTCATGTTGAATATACCCAACATATATTCGATCTGATTAGAAGGGGGGGACTGAAAATTAAAAAAAAAGTCTGACTAAATAAAGTTAGTTTCGTCAGATTAAGGGAAGGTAGGTCAATACCGTGCTAAAAGAAGTGCGTTTAAAAAATCTGCCCATTCCAACTTGATTTGCAAGAGTGGGGGATTTTGAAGGGTTCTCGTTTGTACTCTCCAGAACATTCAACCCCACCATGCAAACTGGCAGATTAAGAGTTTTTTATTATTAAATACACATGGAGCATGTACATTATCAATATCTGACACGCTCGACCACTAGAACAAAAGTTACGCTTAACAATTTCAAAGATCTGTGGATTCCCCCTTCCCCCACTGGTGGAAGAAATTGTCACTAAACCATTTCTTCTTACTATCAGCATATCTTCAAAATCCAGTAGGTCCCAAGGACGCTCAAGTAAATTCCAATTTAGCATCATGGGCTCCCCTACTATTAAGTCCGTCATTTTTTCAACGTCCTTGTTTGGTAAGCGATAGACAGTAAAATGATTGGACTTACTTTTTATTATAAAGAAGGTCCGTACCTGCACTGAACTGAGTTAACGCAAATGCATCCTTCTAGATTCCTTTTAATTATAGGCCAAGTAGCGACATGCCCCGGCTTCGCACGGGTGCGATATGCATGTACTTATACATTTATAAACCTTCCTTATGAATCACTCCATCTATTAAAAAAAACCGCATCAAAATCCATAGCGTACTTTTAAAAATCTAAGCATAGGTACATAGGGACTTTATATTTATATATCTATGATAGGGACAGACAACTACGTAGTAGTTAGTAGTACTAAGTATGTAGTTTTATACTTGGACATGGACTTACTTGCAACGTGTAGCGGGTTCGATTCCCGCACGGAACAACACTTTGTGTGATCCACAAAATGTTGTTTCGGGTCTGGGTATCATTGTGTATGTGAACTTGTTTGTTTGTAAACGCACCCACGACACAGGAGAAAATCCTAATTTGGGGCAATGTTTTATTTAAAAAAAAAATACTATGTAAGTAGTGATAATACCTACTCAATCACAGATATCAACCTTTAATTTAATTTAAATTTAATTTAAATAGTCATACTAAAAACAAGTAACAGTAGGTACCCACAGCATATAAATTCGATTATGTACACGTAATGTTCACGATATGAAAGTGCTGCCATCTGTTGAATCGACAAAGATACACCAGTACTCCTATGAATGCTGATACTAATAGTTCGAAGCAAAACGACTAGAGGGCGTAATTATCAAATAAATTTTAATATGTATTATTTTTCTTATTAGATGTCTAGATAAGCTATGAACACAGTAATTAGTAAAACAAATAAAACTCAAGTACTAAATTTATTCAACACATTTTACAACAATATTCATTTATCAAAATAACATTTAGAGCCGACTTCGGCTAACATGCCATGTCCTTTAACCACAATAACATTTACCATAGTATTATATAGACACCAGACAGTTATTATTTGCACACTACGACTTTAACTCAAAATTTAGCAAAAACATTTCATTTCAAACATCATGTGTATTCAATTGTAAGCATATTTACTTGAAATGATGAACTTATACAATAAATAATAGGTTTATATTAATATATTTTTCATGTTTTCAAACTCGTATATTATCAAAGTCTCAATGTATGTCATTTATTTCATTTCTGAAAAGTCTATTCATACCAGTAATAAAATTATCACACATTTATCTATATTTTATTTCAGTGTCATCAGTGTGAATTTTGTTCAGTTTGAACATATTAACTCGTTGAGTACCGTCATTATAGACACAATTAAAGAATAGGTTGCGGTCACCGGTGCCCTAGCGGTGTTTGACAGTTTAAAGCATAATTTTGTATGTCAGATCAATTTCATTTTATTCTACTACCCATTACAGGATAGATGCCAGCATCATCCAGAACAGAATTCAGTGTAGTAATACAGTCAACCATTTTTAATTCTTGTATTGTGTGTCTGTGTTAATTAGAGCATATTAATAAAGTCACAGTCTACACAGACAAAATTATTTTCTTTGTGGAGTCATCAGTTGTAATATTATGCTAATAATACTTAAATCAATTATCCTACACTATGTCAGTCTTGTTCATTGTTACTAGAGCTTTCTTCAGTACTTTCTTCTTCACTTGATTCCTCGCTAGAATCATCAGAGTTCCCATTCTTTGTCGCCTTTTTAGCCATAATTTCTTTAAACTGCCTCACAGTTATCTTCCTGGGCATAATTTCACGTAGAAAGTCTAATGTATCATCTTCCTGCACAACCTCGGCTATGTGCTTATATTCTAAGAAAGTATTTTTACTGTTTTTGAAAGCCCGTTTCGCTAGATCTGTTACAAATAACTCCTGTAATACGAAAATACTTATATTTATTGTAGTTCTGTTTTATAATTTTTGCAATGGTATGAGAGTAAATTAGTTTATCACGTCTAATATTGCGTCTGCAGGAAAAAAGCTATTGTTTCGAGACAATAGGTTATAAGAGCGGCAAAACATTCAATACTCACGGTAACTTTCGTAACTAAATACAACGGTTCAGCACCTACTGCTTCGACGTCCGGTGAACTTTTCATTATAGTTTTCACTCTGGATAGTGGTAAATGCAAGTCTTTCTCAGATTTAGGAGTCGTCATTTTCTTTAAATTATTGTACGACTATTGCGAATAATACGAATGTTCGGACCGGCGTTCCAAATATTTTTTAATGTCAAAGTCAATTGTCGCATTGATAGCACTCGTCTACGGTCTTGCCCTTTTACGTTCAGATTTGTTACCAAAGGAGTTATGAAAGAAATCAATTATTATTTCTTTTTACGGAATCTTATAAACCTATTTCAAATTCATATTTATTATTTTATCATCACCATTATGAAGTTATTGGTGTTTTATCGAAATTAGATTCAGATCAGGTAATGTACTGAATAGTACGTTGTTCATTGTGAAACTTAGTATATTATTTCTTCTACAGTTGGCAACATTGTGTGCCCGCCATTTTTAATTTTCTACTGGTACAGACCTTTAACCGTACCTATATATTGTAGACGTAGACAGAGAATAGAGGTATATTCTCTGTCTACGATTGTAGACTATGGCTAGAACAAACAGGGTGAATCGGTGAACGTGTGAATCACGTACCTTACCCACCCTGTTCAGAGATATTTTTGCTATGGTATTGGTAGTATGTTTACAATATACCAAGCATCGGGGATAGAAAATAAAAGTCTTAAATGGTCTTAACGCTAGCTGTCTTTATTTTCCATTTCCTTATAGAAAATACTTTTACGAAAAACAGTATATAGGGCCGCTTGCGTGGCCGGCCACACTCGCGGGGCGCTGACTAGTGCCGTTTGCCGGCCCAACCAATCCGACATCCAATCAATTCTTACATGAAAACGATAAATAATACAAAAAATACTGATAACACGAGATCGTTAACCGATTTACAGCGACTTCTCAATTTTGATCAGTTCAGCGATGCCATCGTACATCTCCTTGACGGCGTCGTACTCGGTGAGTCCCATGCGCCTCTTGTTGGAGATGTCGTAGACTCCGCCCTCAGCCTCGGTGTGCTCGCCGCGGGTACCGCGCACCTGCAAGTGGTACTTGGACGCGATCTCCTCCAGCTTCGCCTTGTCGGCAGCCAGCTTGGGTAGCTTGATGTGCACTGAGGCACGCACGGTTGTTCCCAGGTTGGTAGGGCAGAAAGTGAGGAAACCAAGCCTGTCATCGTGGGAGAAAGGAATGCGCTTCTCAATGTCGTTGACAGCGGTCACCAGCCTCTTGTACACCTGCTTCAGGTCACCACCCATCTGCATGGAGATAAGACGGAGATGGTCCTCTTCATTGCACCATACCAAGAAGGTCTTGTTTTCATTGTGGTAGATACCACGGCCAGAGGGCCAGAAGCGGCAAGCATTGGCAGCCTGGAGGAAACGGTCACCCTCCTTGAACAGGAAGTGGTCATCAATGAGTTGTTGCTGGGTCTCCTTGGACATACCAGTCAAGGGGTAGAATGTGCCCTTGAGTTCTCCCTCAAGTCCAGAGAGAGTGCTGGCGACCTTCTCTTCCATCTCCTTGTACTGGGCCTCAGTCAAGCAAGGGTTGAAGGGGTAGCCCTCCATGGAGCGACCACAGCGCACACGGGTTGAGACAACGAACTCGCCGGCAGGGTCCAAGTTGCCAAGGGTCTCGACATCACCCCAGTTCTTGGGAGGATGCTTGTCGGTTTTCTTGAAGCCATTGTGGTAATCCTCGATGATGGGGTCGAACAGGTCAGCGAACACTGTGTACGCCTCAGCGTCAGGGGCGTAGATTCCGACACCAGAGTCCAAGTTTTCAACACCTAGAAAAGATTACATAACATAATTTAATATTCTTATTGGTTTACGTGAAACTCTTCTATATTATCTAAATAGGTACATAATTATTATCGAAAAGTACCTATGTCCTATAGTGACGAGTTTTATCAATATGTTTAATCAGATATCTCTATAGTAATAATAATCGACTGACGTAAAGTGTTATTTTTTAAATGATAACTAATAAGGAGTCAAAGTCTACATATTATACTAACCAGACTGGATGCAATCCAGCAGAGTTGAGCCGAAGGAGGTCTTCTTGTTCTTAAGAGCGTCGAATACCTCCTTGGTAAGGTACTTCTTCAGCAGTGACTTGGAGTCAGAGGCCTGGAGCTTGCTGAAACCAGCCTCCAACTTCTCGATGGTTGCGGCGTCCACCATTGCTGCGGCTTTTCTGCAACGACACGCAATATTTTCATTAGATATTTGTTTTATTTAACACATCATAAAAAGAACCAGACTGAACAAGATCCTAACGCTTTTAACGCAGCACATGTCGCTCTAGTGCACATTTTTGTAAAAATAATACTAAGGCACGACAATTCGACAATAGTTTACAAAAATGTTCCGTTATGGTCGTAGCCAACTACAACTGCTTTATTTTTTAAAAGTGAAAATAATAGTGACGTACCCATTAACTCTATCTCTAGAATCGAGCGGTGGTAGAGTAAACCTATTTCAAAACAACCAAAAAGTTTTCAGTCGAGAATTATTAGGTTTAAGGAATTCACAGAATAATATTATTATATATTATTTAATTATTTGATTATGATTTTAGTAATAAAAACGATACATAAAACTGAAAGCTAAATTAATTTTACAAATATTACGAACCGCCTGATGAGGTAATACGCGAGAACGGCACCACCGCAAACCACCACAGGAATTGTGACTTTCAGTTTATAATTCATACTGATGGAATTAACTAAAGCCACTAGCTATGTTTAAAATGGGTGTGAGAACTTTGGAACTGGAGATGTTACGCGGACCGGTTCGTACTTGGGATTGTTTTTGGCTGAACACACCCAGGGATACACTTCGTTTTGTGGTGGAATTACGTAATTTAGCTAGAGGTCGCCTTGACCGACACGCGCAAGTCGAACGGATGTGTCAGCTCACTGCGCACCGGTGCTTCTTCGCCGCGCGCAGCCGTACCTCCCACTCACAACCAACGAACGAATGTGTTATCGCAAGTTTCTTGTTACTTTGCATTCATTTCTATTCGAGAAGGTAATGCAGTAATTAAACATCGTCAGATTACGGAATCAACTTATCGTTCCTTGAATTTCACCAATCGTGATATTGGATATGAGTTGATATGATTATGAATAATGAATGTATGTAGGTGCATATTTGCGAAAGAGATTCTCAAAACTTTGATGTCGTCGATAGTTTACTTTGTTGATTGTCTCTGTTAAACACCACCAAAACGGGTTTTAAAATTTAGGCACCTCATTTTACAAAATTATGGCACAAAATTGTAAAAATTAATGTGAAAATTCTTGCAACAATTAGACGACTGTAATAGCACATCACACTATGTAAAAAACTAATAGGTCGAGTGAAACTTTAAATGGCAACTACTTAGAATTATTACGCGGCCAATTCATCCGGTACTGCCCAATTTTTACATCCCGAGGTTCAATGCCCTTAATTTTGCAATGAACTCGAGTGTACGGACAAAGTATAGAGTAATAGTAATATTACAATAATAGCCATAGCACTATTTTATGAGCATTTATGCAATTTTAACACTGATTAGCACAAGATTTTGCTGTAACAACATAAGAATTGGTAGTAAGCACCGGGATTAAATGCCGGCCAGAGAAATACGCACCCGTCGGCTTCGTCAGCCGGTTTGTTTTCCTTATTTTCTTTCGTTGCACAGCCACCCATTTTCACAAATACTAAATGTTAACTAGCCGCTAAAACATGCACTAATCACTAAATTCTACCGCAAATAAATAAAAGAAACAGGGAATACTATAAATGCAATGATGGAATGATATTTTGTCCAAATGAATGTATCGGAGCCGGGAGTGGCGAGGGCGAGGGGTGGCCCGATCGATGCGCGACACGCAGCACGCACGCGGGTTCACGCTTCCCGCCCTTCGGGAACCGCTTCAAAAGTTTTTGGAGGGAAAGTTCCCCTGATTTGCGCCACCGTTTACCTTCGCGGGTTGCATTTGAATGCAATTTAGAATTCTTTAAACAAGTGTTATATCATCTTATCGGCAAAATAGAACACTTAACGTTATCAAAGCACATCTTGAATAGGGATTTAGTTGTCACACAGTATGCTAGGATCATTGTCCGAGTTTTGAAGCGGTGGTGGTGTTGTGATGAAACGCGATCTAGGCGAAACTTTTCGTCAATAGACTAGTATTTAAATGACCACCGCTTACCTTGCGCTTGTACAACCGTCAGAGTCGACTGCGAGGTGCAGAATGGTCTGTGCGGGTTCGAGCGGAGCGTTAAGCCCGCGGCAGCGTCCCGCGCCCCCCCTTCCCTGTCAACCTTGGCCTTGGTGATTCTTGCCTGGCCGGCAGATCGCAAGCCAGTTGAGTTTCGAATCATGATTTGGACCATTATCATCCCAGTAGATTTAAATCTCATCCGTAGTCCAAGGGGTGTTGTTGCAGAATCAATAGTTTTAACTTAGTAATACAGATTTGAATTTGAGAAATCATAATGATAATTTACCGTCGTATTCTTGTAATAAGAATGCTTTTATTATTTATTAATTATCAAAAACACTTTTTCGATATTTTTATAGTTAAAAGTTGAAAAACTTAATATTTTAACAAATACCTCTCCATAAGTACATAAACTCACACCTTTATCCCATAGTACATTACAAAAAGCAAAACACAGAAAAAGTAAACTACAAAGCCTATTTCATAAATAAACTATTTCACTTTTACAGTTCATTTTACTCTTATAAATAGGTAGTCATAATTTATTGAATAATATTCACAACCAATTTATTAATATTTTGCATAATTGCTAGAAAATTCAATTATAAATCGTAATCATAATCATAATCGATTGATTGTACGGTTCGCGTCACGCACTATTAGTTATCAACGATTAGGTGGGAAATTTAAAATTAGAACGTTGCTGGTTCTTTTTCATGTCTGGATCGAGTCCAACACTTCAACGTTAGCGACGTTAGTGATCTCGACGATGCCAATGTCAAGTTTGTTATTTTTCACTTTCATTGCATAACTTTAGTAACGAGAGTACATTCGTTTATATTAATAAAATTAGGTACTTAGTTACTTACTAAATCTCTTAATACAATACATACGAATGAAATTAAAAGTTTTTGAAAACCAATGTTTTTAGTTCATCGTTTTGCATTGGATTTTAGGAAAATGTTTCGTCTCTTTC